GGCTGCTGGACTCTGAGGGCTGCCGCTGGCGGGGAGGAGTGTAGCCGTTCAGGTAGCCGTTGCTCTGGCGTTTGCTGAGTCCTCCGTTAAGAATGTCCTGGATGTGCTGCACTATCAGGTTTATGGCCACTGTGAGCAAAAGGGAGGGAAAGACATGGGGGAGAGATTGTGTTAGGATCACTACAAATAAACTAGAGCCAAGCCGGAGACGATGGCGCTGCTGCCTCCACTGCTCCCATCCCCTTCTAGCACATGGTGGGGAGCGGCATCCCTGTGGGGAGAAGCTGCCCTGTTGGGGCTTCATCCGTCTGCCCCGGCTGAGCCCAGCACTTAATCTGGTATGGTCAGGCTGATTCCAGCCAAGTGGAGACCTGGCTGTCCCAGCTGCACATCTGGCCTTGGAGAAGCACATTTCCCTTTGTGTGGGATGATCCAGATTGCCCGGAGGCACTGCACACAGATGGGCTCCTAGGCTGGATCAGAGAAGCACAAACAGCACTCTCCTGGGTGGCGGTGGCCTGAGCCACCTCTGTGGCAGGGGCTGCTATGCTACCCTCTGCCTAACCCCGCCGCAACAGCCCAAAGCTGGCTGCCAGGATGTAACAGCAGGGTCTGAGTACACTCACCTTCATTGTCTGCTCCTCTGGGAATGATCACGTCAGCATACTTCTTGGTCTGGGAGGAGAGAGAGCACTGCGTTACAGGGAAAGTGGAGAGCCACCAGGCTGGGGCATTGTCCCTACTTACCGGAGCAGGTCCGTCCCGCCCCTTGCCAAACCAAACCCGCTGGCAGGCAGGTCACTGCTGATAATACATTTTGGATGCTCTTATGTCTTCTGCTCTGTGTTTTGAGGGCCATGCTTTGCACCTTGACTCCGTTTTCATGAGCTCATATAGATTCCAGTAAGAGGCACCCTAACAAAACCTGATATTAAAAAGCCTCACAATCATGAGACTCCAGCAGCTGATGATTTTGGGAACAACCTCCCTGCTGATTCCAGCCAGACTTGGTACAAGAGCAAGAGCTGACATGCCTGGGCTGTGCAGACATGCAGGGCACAGCCACGTGATCTGCTCGGGATGTAGGGAGAATTTTCTACCACGAGCATCTCTTGCAGAAAAGGTCTGATTCAAGACACCAGTCCTGACCTATTTCCACCTGCAGGTGCCAGTCTGTTTCCTCCTGTTTGTGTCCGCTCCTGCAGCTGATCAGCTTCCTGACAGCCAAGCTCTGCCACCAGTAATCAAGCCAGTCTGCTGGGAGATGGCTGTCATCTGACGCCTCCAGGCGCTTCCAGCCATAGCAAAAATCACCAGGACATGCTGGACCGTTTCAGTGCTGGAGCACCTGGCCCAGAGCTGGTTTGGGAGTCGAGTAACAGCAACAGTGGGTGCTGATCCTGCTCCACATCCGCATGCAATTGCTCTGCAGCTGAGCCCACCACCATGTTGGAAGTGGGAGCAGACCGCTGCAAAGCTGGTGGGTAGGGACAAAGCGGTTTTCTCCACTCATTGTTTCACATTTCGGCCTCCTAAAGACTCTTCAACAGAAGAGACTGAGGCAGCAGACACTGCTTTGCAATGCTGTGGGTTTACCTTGCTGGGGAATTGCAAGGAGGGGAGGCACCAAGCTGGACCTGCCTCTGAGGAATAGTCTTTCTGGGGTTACACTGGAATTGGACCTTGGTCCCCAGAGCCACAACCGAGTGAGACAGAGAAAAGGGTGCTGCTCAGGAGCCAGGGAAAGATCTTGTAGTACAGAAAAATCTTGTAGCACAGAAACCATACAGACAGGCCCAGAGATGTTCCTGAGGCCAGAGGCACAGGTTCAACTCCCACCTGTGGTGCTAGCCAGCAGTTCCCAGGTTGCAGGACTCTGCAAGCTCAGTTTCTCCAGAATAAGAAGAAATTCCTCACACAACTACCACATCTGCTTGAAAAGCCTTGAGAACCAAGGCACAGGCTCGTCTCCACGAGAGCCAGAAGAGGTGTGCAATGGCTAGTCCTGCAAACGTGGTATTTCACCTGCACGTTCTGCAGGACTGCACTGGTCTCCCACACGCAAAGTCCCCGTCTGCTAGGGGACCCCTTGCCGCGGTTATCAGCTCCTAAAGTAGCTTTCTTTCTCCAGGCAGACCTTGCAACCCTGGCCCCGAGCGAGGTCGGTCTGCTCTACACCATGGCCTCTCACCAGCCACGAAACGCAACCTGCAAGGCCACATCCCGCAGCATGGAGCGAAGGAAGACGCTCTGCTGCTCTCCCAAGCATCCAGCCAGCAAGAAGCCAGCAGCACTGTAGGGTGAAAAGGGCAGGCAGGACAACCCAGAACAGGAGGCAGACGCAGCGGACGCTGCCTGGGGGCAGGGATCTCCCCTTCCCCGGCCAGATGCAGCCAAGGACCTTCCCTCCTGGGCTGGCATCTGATGAGCTGCCTGGCGTTGGTTTGTCAGGTCCTGTTCAGGGAGGGGTTTCTCTTGCCACCTTGGCCTTCCCACAGGGGAGGGTGATCTCACCAGGAACGCAGTGGCTGTATAAATAGTCTCCATCTTGCCCTGCCCGGCCAGCACTGGCACCCCCATTTTTTGCCAGTGCCTGCAGGGTGGGAGCAAGGCAAGGCAGGCTGACCTGAGCTCTGAGGCACAAAACGCTCCTGGCTGAGAAGCCAGGCAGGGTATGAAGCATCTTTGGTGGACTCCCATGGGTGTCGCTCTCCTTACTTACTGGCAAACAGAACTCCTCGAAGGCAGGCTTGACGAAGGTGATGTACTGAGATAAGATCTGCTCGAGGTCCCTGCCTCGCTCGCTGATGTCTCGTAGCACTGTGGGGAAGATGTAAGGCACGGTCAGGAGCCGAGACATGAATCGCTCCGTCTCCCTTCCCTTCAGCACAGCCTTTGGCCAGCTATCCAGGTATTTTGCCCAAGTCTTTGTCCCTGGAAGCTGCTGCCCACGTGTCCGAGCACACCCCAGCCCAGCTACATGCTTTTAATCCACTTTCAAGCCTTCCTGGGAGCCAAGGGCTAGCTGACCTGACCGAGGGCTTATCTTAGCCTCCCTCCCTTCTCAGCTCTGCACGCACATTCCAGCTGTAACCAGTGCCACCCTAGCCCTGACTGTTCCCAGCATCAGCCCTTGCATCCCTCCTGCCACTCTGCCCTGCCCTTGGCATAAGGATGGGGCATTCTCCCAGTCATCCCAGCGCAGAGGTGCCCAAAGAATAGAAAAGCGGCGAGGTTCAGCCATACACACATGAAGGCACAGTTTAACTCGGGTCTGCAGAGGTGACGGGAGTAAAACTCACCCACCTACTCAGCTCTGCCAGGCTCCTTGTGCTGTGCTGGCGAGCTGAGCGGGATGGGAAGGTGAAGCAGGCTCCCACAGCCAGAAGCTGAGGGGGTGCCTGGAGGAGATCAGCTCAGGAGGAAGCCAGAAGGCAGAAGAGCAAGCCGGCCTCCTGCTCGTTCTGCTGTTCAGGCCTTACACCCTGTTTGCACGAGGTATTTGGGCCATTGCCATCTCCGGTCTGAAGCTACTTCACTGTGGACAAGTGCCCCCGTTCAGCAGTAATTCAATCCATGGGTAAGAGCCTAAACAGCCCTGTGGCCGAGCAGATAGCTCTCGGCTCTCCCCAGGGGGCTGGCTGGCTTCTCCCCAGCATGCCAGCACCTGGCGCTGGGTTTGGAGTGAGCCCTCTCCACGTGCCAAGCAGGGCCAGGCCACGGCACTGCCAGCCTGCGTGACCTGCTCGGCACCGCTGCCCGTGTGCTTGCAGGGCCAGGACGGTGCTGGTTTGGCACGGTCCCCAGGGCTCTATCTGCCCTCGGCCAGCAGCTTCGCAGTGTGCCCTGTGCAGGGGAGGTGATGGGGGGAAGAAAGAGCTGGCAGCAGGATACGTGCCAGCTCCCTGCCTCCTCCAGAAACGGCTCGGCCCAGCTCAGGCTGCTCTAGCCAGCTCCCTGCCTTCTCCACAGAGCGGGAGCAAGCCCCAGCTCAAACAATACAGAAAAACAGGCAAGGAAAATAAAACACAGAGACTTTTCTTTCCCATGTCCCACACCCTGTTTGTTGGCTGCTCTGGTGCGGGGAAGCAGCACAGCGAGGGTGTATTTGCAGCACACCCGGCCTGGGATGGGGTGCGGGAGGCCTGCGAGCTGCACAGGGCAGGCACCCAGGCTGCTTGGGCTGGTCCTAAGAGGGCAAAACTCTCCTGCCCACTCCCAGGGCAGACCGCAGCAGGGCAATTGCCCCCCCGCTCCCAAACTTGAGTCAAGCACCCACTGTCTTGTACCTGGCCCCAAAGCAGTGGGTCCCAGCAACCCAGACTAAGACCACGCACCCTATCTGGAGATATCACCCTCTACTTGCAGGGCAGGCAAATGTCCCAAGGACAGACTGGCACCCATCCAGAGGCAGCAGGCAGGCATCACTCAAGTCAGGCCCAAATCATGCGCGTGATACCTGACTTGGTCTTTGTTTTACAGAAGCTGGCTGAGGACAGGGCAGTGAGGGACCTCAGCCACAATCAGCTTTGCACAGATCAGGCTGTTTGAGGCACCCGACAGATCTTCTCCCCTGCGCTCTGGCTGCAGTGCTGTTCTTGGGAGAGGTGCTGAGATGGGGACAGTGTGAATACCATGTACTGAACCCCAGCACTATTGATTAATTGAGCTGTCAGCTACATTTCCAGGAATCTCATCTCCAGATGCTGCCCAGCTAAAAAGCCCATTGCTGCAACTCTTCAGGACTTCTGGGAGAGCAAGATGACTCAGGGGCCATGTCGCAATGCAAGATCCTGACTTTTGCTACGAGCTGCCTCCAGCTACGTTCCAGGGGTATGATTATACCTTCAGCACCTCACACACAGGCTCTCCTTTCCCAGAAATGCCAGGGAGACATACACTAAACAGACTTGCTGCTGCAGTGGTCCTACCAACTGCTGACAGCAGGCCAGGAGACTGCCAAATGGTCCGTTCCCTACCAGCAGTTGCTCTAACCAGGAGACACCAGCACCTCAACCAGCCCAGCTGCCCCTTTGCAAGGCTTTAGTGATTGATGGCGGGTGGGAGAAATAGCCCAAGAATGCCCTGGGCCCATCTGGCTCAGGACCTCATCAGCACAACAGCGTTTAGCTCTGTATTGTGGTCGGCAGCTGGATGGTCTTGGTGCTCAGTCAATGGGATCTCAGTCAGTTCTCAAGCCCTGAGCTCACAGCTCTGTACCAAGTCCACAGCGACTGAACCACATGCTCCAGAATACGACTGGGATGCATGCCCGGTCGTGTGTTGCTGCAAATGCACAAGGCAACGCCTTGCCTTCACAGAGCCGGTACAGGGTCCTGCCAAAACGTGTGCTACCCCTCTGCTGGGTGTGAACCCAGCTCCCGCACAGCACAGTCTGTTTAAGGAATAAGGCTCACATTGCAGGCTCTTGCCAATGTGTCTCTGTGACCTGCTAATACGTCTCCCTGCAATGACTGTGCTGTCACCTCCCTGGATGAGTCATGCCAGAACAGTGGGCAGGGTCAAGAAGGATGCGTAAAAAGGAGCTTTTAATCAGCACTGATGACATCGCAGCAGTGGAGGAGGCTGTGCATCTGTCTGACAGCAGGAGGGCAGGCGAGAGCAAGTCCATCGCAGAGTGGAACGGTCCCCATGCACAGAAGCAGTACCAGGCTGACGCGCTGAGACACGGTTCTCTCCTCACAGCACAGAGGTCTGGACAGGACCTCTCCTCCAAGTCACCTTCGTCATCCCCAGACACTCTGTGGAGGCTGTTGGAGCCCAGGGCAGGGGGAGGGACAGTTCAGACAGAACTGAATTCTGTCCCAAAAGTCCCCAAATGCTTTCTTAGTCATCCAGGAGACTCAGCTGCTACATCACTGATGCCACCCTAAAGGCTGCTTTGAAATGAACTGCCTCTCAAACCATGCAGAGCCGGAGTCCCTCCTATGCCAGCTGGCAACCCACAGCCAAGCCAGCTGGACATGGGGAGTCCTAGAAAGGGATATTCTAGTTTCTAGGGCTCTTTGCCCCCAGAGCTATCACCCCAGTGCCAAGTACCACAAAGCAGCTCCATGCTGCGCTGGCTGTGCTTGCAGAGACCAAGATGTCCAACCAGGCTCCCTATCTGCATCATCCACAACGGACACCCTCGCACCCAAATGCCACCCTCGGAGCACACCCATACCCAGGTCCTGAGCAGATCCATCAGGCACTGCCTTCAGAGCGAGCTGCCGAGCCGCTTCGCTGTGCCCACTGTACCCTTCCTTGCTGGTATCTGCTGACCAGCAGTAGCTGCCAAATGGCAGCTGACGGCACAGGGCTGGTGCCACGAGGCCATGTGAGGACACAGCACGCTCAGTAGTCACACTGCTGTGTGCACCAAAGGAGGAATCCCAGACAAGGCAGTAAAAACCCCCACTGAATCCCAAGAGACACGGAGCAAGGTGCTCTCCGCTGCCATAAGCTGCCCTACGTGACATTCTGGGGAGGAAAATCTGCCTGGCTCTTTACTAGCAGCAGCACAGCTTTGTGCCAATTCCAGTTCTACTCCGGTCACTGTCACCTGCCTCTGCAACCAGCTGCCCAGATCAGCTTAGTGACATTTCTGTCCCTGCTGCACAAGGCATGTTCGGGCCTCACCTCTGCGGGACAGCCGGGTGTCTGCGTCTGTGTCCACAAAGAGCTTCATGCGGAAGAGATCCCGCACCTCCTGGCTGTAGAAGGCCAGGATGCCCTCGAAGAGCACCACGTCGGCAGGGTAGACGGTCACAGTCTCCTCTTTCCTAGCAGAGGGAAGGAGAGGGAAAATAGGCTGGGGGGGGGGAAACAAGCCAAGAGAGGTGAGGGGAAACAGCGGTGCTCCAACCCTGGGACATCACTGCTGCACCAGGGGATCGACCGAGGAGGGGGCAGACGTACCCCGCCACGGTGAAGGGAATCCAAGGCATACGTACGCTTCCTAGAAGGACAAACGGCAGAGCAGGAAGCAGACTAGCCCTTCTCCCCCCACCTCGGCCAGCTGCTGCTTGCAAGCGTTACGTGCCAAGGCACTAAGGCCCAGAAAGTGTACGGGACTTGACCCACAGGAACCTGCGAGGGCCAACTCTGCTCCCCGGGAACCCGGCAGCGCTCTCCTGACACCACAGCGCTTTTGCAGGACATGGAGCAGGGCCACACCATCCATGACAACACAGGCATGCCAAAAGAAGCTGAACACATGCAAGGGAAGAGCTACAGGAGCAAGAACTGTCCTCTCCTTTCAAGACAGTGCCGTAACTGTTTGAGGCTGGAATACTCACTAAAGCTGCAAACACAGAGTTTATGAGGAGAGGAAGTGTGGATGGGGGGAAGAAAAGGGGGGGCCATAACCCTCCCCCCTCCACTGATCCCTGCATGTTGCTGCATGCAACTGCATGGCTGCACAGCTTTCCAGACTCTCAGACCGTGCCTGTGTCTGCCCTGGATCCTCTAACCAAACGGTTTGGAGCAGTTCGCATTGAAACTTTTGGTTGGCACATGGGGTGCCTAAGAGCGGGTGCAAGTGGAGGGGCGGGCGGTTCGGGCTGGCAAGGCTGTGTGCTGCACCGCAGGGCGTTAGCAGAGGCACAGCAAGGCAGGAGCGGCTGTTAGACCTGGAGTGGGAGACAAAGTCATAGACGGGAATCTGGACTGTCTTCCCTTCTGTGATCTCTTTGAGCGTTTTCACGATCAGCTCGTTGTCAAAGGCATCTGAGGAGAGAGGAAACGTTACCCAAGGCAGTTTTGCAAGCTCTCCCACCCACCAGAAGTTGAGCTTAGCCTGGCTAGAGCCACTGGCACACCGCACTGGGGACAGACAGACACAAAGATTCCGGAGGAAAGCCCGGCAAGTCCCCATGGGCATAGCAATGCCCAGCTCTCCCAGAGCCCCTGGCACTTCATGGCTTTGCACCAGCCTGGGATCTGGTGCGCAGAGATCAATACCGCCCTTGTACAGCGGCACTGACAGCCTGGGCTCGGGACGCCATCTCCTCCAGGGCTCCAGCCCCAGGAGAGACTGGAGCAGTGTTTCAGCCTCGAGTCACCGGACAGACAGGGCTCTGTTTGCTCGGTGCTCGCTGCCTCCGGCCATTGTCCTTGTGGGGATGAAGGGATAGCGGCTTTGGAACTTCCCCACCAAGCCCAGAGATGGTCCAAAGAGCCCCTGTTGTAGCAAGAGGGCATGGCCCCCTCGGTGAAGGGGTTTGTGGAGCAGCTGCACAAGACGATTCCCTCCTTGAAGGAGGGACACAGAGCTGCTGGCTCCAGGGAGCCGTGCCAGGCCAGATCTCCCTGGTCCCAACGCAGCTGCACCAGAAAGGTTTTCAAACTGGAGGATGTTTTTGCAGGGAGAGGAGGAGCATCTCAAGCCATCTGAAGGTTCACAGCCTGCCCTTTCTCATCCCAAACACTCCACTCCAGAGGCAGTTTCTTTCCCAAGAGAGACAGAGGTTGTACCGCAGGGGACACAGGTGGCCCCCAGCCACCCTACCAGGGATGCACCCGGCTCCACAAGAGCTTAACTAAGCCACCCAGTCCTACCCCATGCAGAGAGAGAGTCCCAGTGTCCATGCAAGGCTCTTTGCTGGTGGAGCAGGAGGACCCACTCCAGCAGTCACCCCCCCACCACGCGGCAGAGCCCCAGTGCTGTTCTCCATTCACCTGGGTGGTCAAAATTGAACTGCCCTTTGAGCGCTTTGGATTTCTGCTCTGAGGTGAGGACCCGGTAGAAGCTGTCTTGGCTCACGATCACCACCTGCTTCTGGCGGTAGTCCACCTCGTTCTGGCCCAGCAGCTGGACGATCTTGGAGCATACTGAGGACTGGGGAAGGAAGAGCAAAGAAGGCAAGTCAGCAGCAAGTGGTATCTGAGCCACGCAGAGAGGATGTCCCCAAGGAACAGCCATTCCTGGGTGCATGGGGCACTGCTTGCTGGACCTCTAGCCCAGAGTTCGTGATCCCGTCAAAGGCACAGCCCAAAGCCACTGAGGAAAAAGTGCTCTAGAGGCATCACCGTGGGGCCCTTCAGTGTGAAAGCAGCACCAAGCCTGCTCCCTGCCTCCCTCTCCTCCATCCCTATGGTCTGCCTGCAAATGTCTGGGCACAAATGGCAGCAGGAAACCAGCTGGCAGCCGCCTGGGTTCAGCCACACCCCCAGGGACCCGGCAGCCAGCTCCAGCCTGCCCAGCAGCTCCCCAGGGAGGAGGGCTGTGCGTGGCTCCAGGGCTGAGTCTCCTCCTTGAGAGGCAGCCTCAGTGCCTTGGTTCCCCCAGCCCTGGTCCAGCCCAGAAACCCCACCACAGGATGGGCAGGGAGGGAGAGAGTCCTCACAGAGGGAGAACCAGGCTGTTCTCACACCCTAAACAAACACCAGGATGAAAAGACACCAGGAAGAGAGCCCTGGGACTGTATTAGGGATCTCTGCCACAGCTGCCAGGAGCAGCCGCGAGCGTATCCTGGTGCCTCTTCGCACAGCGAGGCCAAGGGCACTGTGGAGCCAGCGGCTGAAGAGCCACGTGGCTCCGACTGCTGGTGCAAGATCCCCACGGGTGCTGCTGGCACAGGGACCGGCACCTCATGCGCTGCCGGCATCAACTCTCTGCTGGTACCGCAGCAGGCACCGGAGCCCGCCATCGCGACACAACTCAGAGCACAGCTCGGGGGACAGATCCCAAAGCCTGCTGCAGTCGCTTCTCCTTAGTCATACGAGTCCTTGGCCGCTGCGGCAACACAGCGGTGTTAACTGCATCACTAACCGGCAGCCGGCACGCCTGCCCCAGCCAGCGAGAGCCAAGGTCGGGCTGGAGGGGGAGAGCTCTGCTGCCTGCGGGAGCCCTGCGTGTCTGCCCTGCCCCGTGGCATCCACTGCTGGGGGAGAAGGGGGTGCTCCTGGTGCCAAACTGAGCTGCTTCTCCTCCTGCGAATCACGCTTGCTGCGGATGCCCAGCTGAGCTTTGCAAAGAGAGGTTTGCTTGCCCCAGCCTGCTCCCCGCAGGCTGCCCGTGGCTCTTTCCATGCTCCCATCTCCCCACTGGCTCGCCCATCTGCTCGGTACCTGGCTGGCAACCTCCAGATGCAGAGCTGAAGACAGCGGTGGTGAGAGGGAACAGGGAGGGGAACGCATGCCTGGCAGAGGAGGTCACCCCAGCAGGCAGAGGGCAAGGCTGTTTGCCGGAGAAGCTGGAGGATTTGACGGCATTCCCGTCCCCAGAGACCATCTCTTCCCCTCCAGGCCAGGCTGACCTGACTTGGCTGTGACCGCTGTGCTGTGAGTCAGCCCCAGCCCGGCTGGAGAGCCTCTGCACACAGCACTGCTGCAGAGCGAACCGGCTCCGGCTGCCCGACAGCAGTCCTTGCGGCCCTGCGCACAAGTTTAGGGTTTGGGTCGGGGATGGGGTCTCCCCGAGCATCCCACCTTCTTCTGCTGCCTCTCACAGCTGGAATACCACCAAGAACAAAGCAAGTCAGTGCCAGTTGCTCGCCCTTCGGCACGCGCAGGCACAGAGCTGGAGCCCATTCTCCGTTTCCTCTGTTTTCCCTCTCCCCACATCCTTCGTCAGCCCTGTTGCTTATCCAGCTGTATCCCACAGGTTTCACAAAAACAGGGCGTGCACAGTGCCTCTCCTCCACTTCTCCTCCCTGCTCTCTCCCCCGGACACTGCTGCCTTCCCGTGCTGCCCGTGCAGCGAGGAGACACAGCGCAGCAGGGTTCAGCCTTGGCCACAGCTGCCAAGGACACCAAACTTCCCAGGCCCTTTGCAATTCAGCATAAACCACCTTCCAGCGCAGCCACCCAGACAGATGCCCAGCCTGTAGACCAGCAGGCTCCATATGGATCTGCACCAGACGCTGCTTTCCCCAGTCTGGGGGAGGGAGCAGGGCTCCTTTGGATCAGTGAAAGCAACGCACCAGTTGCACTCACGCTCTCCCCTTGGACCTCAGCATGTGGATGGACAATAAAATCATTTGAGGGCATTGCACAGTTCCTGCCAGTCTTTCTTCTGCCTTATGTACACTAATCTCTGGTCTACTGATCCTGGAAAGTGGAGGAGAGTCTCCATCAGCTCTGAAAATCACCCTCCTGCTCCATATCCCATGACTCGAGAAGCCCGATGGAGAGAAAAACCCAAGGAGAAAGTAGACCTCAGCAGCTGGAGACAGGAACACGCCCTCCCACGGGGACCCAGGACAAGGATCAGAGCATACCCTGGCTGCATTTACCAGACAGTGCTCTGGGGTGGCAAGTGCCTCTTGCAAAAGCATCCAGGCAGGTGCCTCAGACCCTTCCCTTTTCTCTGGTGGGCTTTGGAGAGCTATCAGAAGCGGTTGAGAAAGATAATCACAAGGACATTCCGCTCACAGGACCAAGCTCAGGTTCAGCACTCTGTGTTGCCTGGGTGGGCAGAGATGTGACCTTTGGGCTTTGGGAAGAGGCGCACGTGTCACTTCAGTCCCGCAGAAGGTGTGGGTCAGGGCACTGCTCACACATCATACTTGCGTAAGTGCAGCGGGACATAGGGACAGCAGGGGATGCGGCATCTTCCTCCAGCCCAAGGCTGCATTCAGCTCTCCTTAGTGGAGCAGCAAATCTCGGCGAGGTCTATGTGAAGAAGGTTTTCTCTTTCCTTACAATCGTTTGTGATGGAAACAAGAATGGTTCATGAGGGGCACTCCCTGATGCCAGTCTGAACATCTCCTACAGCTGGTCAGGCAGTTTTCCCCCTTGGTCCATAAACACCAGGAGGAAGAAAAACCAGAAACACAGAGGTTATAAATTCCCCTACACAGTGGGAACAGAAACTCCCAGCCTCACGAAGCATCCCTCCAAAAGAATGACGCATGTCCCCTGCTTAAAGCCCCTTCTCCCAAACCACCACTGCATATGTACGTGTGACTGATGTTCATCAGAAGTGTGAAAAATCCACTAACAACCAGAATTGATAGTGGTTAGGCTCCGGTGAAGTCTGCAGATGCCCAAAAAGACCAAGACCCAAGCACGACAGCAGAGTACCACGCTGGGCTGCAACCGGCCTGGATGCACGGTAACCCCAGGGACACGTGGTGCCGACACATGCACTCAGCACCCGCTCGAAGTGACAACCTGGGCTCCGATTCCTTCCTTTGCCAATTCCTAACTGCCTGGCTCCTACCAGCAACCACTGCTCCCAAGGGGGAAGATGACAGTTGTTTTTTCCCCTGAGAAGCCCAGGACTGCAGAGGCAAACGGAGAATGACATGATGCTATAGACGAATCCCACTACAGAAATTGAGATTTGAGCCCCAGCCCTAGCTTTGCCCTGCATGACGCATCCCGTCTGCAGGCAGGCAGATGGGAGGCTTGACAGGGCTCCTTGCCTCCGCTCAGCCCCTTCCCCAGATGAACACTGTCCCTGCACACCTTGCCACGACCCAAAGCGAACGCTGATGGTGAATCAGCCACAGCGCACTCCCGGCAACAGGATGCTTTCTCAAGCAGAAGCCTTCCCCTCCTCCAGAACTTGTTTAAAACTAAATATAGACAGGACACAGCAGCCTCCGAGCCTCCATGGTTGCCAAGCGGACCTTTCCCATGTTAGCCACGTGAAACCGATGCAGGACTTCTCAGGCACTCAGGCAGAGCGCCCCGGCCTCTCTGCCATCGTCCATGACTTCCCACACACTGCAGCGAGAGGAACTCAGCTCTGGGCTCGAGCGAACTGGCTGTGACCCACTGAGCTGCACTCCCCCAGGCTTTGCGCTTGAGCTGCTCCCTCGGAAAGATGTGCAAAGCAACCCACACCACACACAGACGGCTGAGGGAGGGATCTGCACACCGCAGTGCAAGAAGGGAGCTCAGAGAGGTGTTATTCCTGCACAGAAGCAGCTGCAGCTCCCCTTGCAGGATTCCTCCTCTGAACCAAGCACACAAATAACCAGTGTTTAAGGAAGAAGTACGGCTTTATTCTGCTGGGAAGGGAAGACGCAGAGGGCATCTGAGGAAGAATTCCAGCATATTTTCCCAAAAGGAGAGAGCTGGTGCACAGGGGAAGAAACTCAACAAACAGGTGTTTGGAGCCCTACTGGTGACATTTATTTGAAAGATATTAATTACATTACATATTTAATTCATAGTCACTCATGGCCTATAGCCAGCTGTTCAGATATTCTTCAAGAGTTGACTCATTCCCCAATATTACTATGCAGCTTATCCCACAGTCCCTCTTGGGTAGCTCTGATCAGCCAGTGAATTGCTACTTCGGATCGGTATGAAGAGAGAAAGCTGACGGACAGTGCTACAGTTAACCACCACTACATGAAGATACCAGGCAGGACACAGCTGATGCTTTCAGCCTCAGGTTTGCGGTGGCCGACAGGGCAGTATGGCTACTTCTGCCCCTGGCCGGTAAGACCTGTCCCGGACTAGGAGGAATCCATAAGCCTTGTGCATGTGGATACGCCAAAAGCCACTTGCTCAGAGCAGTCCACTCATCCCCAGGGAGCCTGGCACCACAGAGGGATGTCTATACCGAGCTGCTCACTAGGATCCCAATACAGCAGCAGGGAGGACATCTCATCCTTCCAAGGACTCTAGACTAGACATCTAGCAAAAGTGACTTACGCCAGATAAAGTGATTCCAGCTCTGAAGAAATACTGAAGCTGACGGTCCCCTCGGGAGCAGGTGAAGGGAGAAGGGCTGTGCCAGAAGCAAGACCTAGCAGGAGAGGCACACGCTGGGCTCCAGCATGGAAGGAAGAGAGGCACAGACTCCTGCCACCGCTGCGGGCTGCTCGCCCTGAGCCAAGACGCTGCTCGCCGCAAGGACAGTCTTCCCCAACAGAGCAATGCCCTTGGCCCACACAAATGCTACAGCCAAGAGCAAGGACAGACTGCAGCAGTCACATCCCACCTCCCACCAGGGAAAGAAGCCCAGAGGTTATCCTTGGGGACACCACGGCTATAACCTGTCCTTCCTGTAGGATCTGGATGTGAACAGGCTGGCCAGGGGCTGTCGATGTCTTTGCATCCACAGCAGCCTGGTTGGGGTGTCCTCATCACATGCTTGTGGATAAAACAGTCATCAATTTTGGGATCTG